ATTGAATATTCACTGTTGACATCCCTCCATCGCCATATTGAAATGATACACTTTACAGCAAAAATTAAGATGAATCACATGCTTAGACACTTAGAAAAGCCAGAATGGGGTCACCAGGCATGAATATAACAAACACAGCAGTAGGGAAATATTTCTGAATCTCTCCCAAGAGACACTGGAAGCAGATAATAATGGCTGATTTACTACATACCAAGTAATTATCCTATCACTAAATTCTGGCTATTCCCAACTCAGTAGCATAATGCTTTCAGCAATTGTTCCAGGAGTGATGCAGAATTACACTCCCCATTTCTCCCACACATATTACTGTCTTCACAGCCATATATTCCCTTTTCCTTTTGAGCATGCGGAACCATAGCATAAGCGTTGATGAAAATAAGGTGTGTGCCAGGCCAAAATATTTAAAGAATTACCCGTATTTCTTGCAATGTCACTTTCTATGGAATTTAAGAAAAAGTTATATCCCTAGACAAGGTAAAGAACATGTCTGTGATGAGCTGAAGTCTGTTCTATTCAACATCAAGGGTTTTATCCAAGGTTAGGGTTTTTTACTTAGAGTAGACTCTTTTAAAAGTTGGAACTTGTTAAACTAACATTGGAATTGTGGACTTTATGGAGAGAACCAGACAGTAATGTCTACTTGGTTTTAAAAACAGATGTAGCATATGGGGGTGGTGGGAGAAAATCCAGATGCATGTTTTTTGAAGTCCTTTTCCAAGGATCTTCTAATTTTACACAAGGTCAGACAACTAGCAGACTGTCTCAAGGCCAAGCTGTGATATCTGAATCACAGGGCAGCAAAACTTTCTGCTAGGACACAGTCGACAGTTTCTTGTACCCTGACAAAACCCCGAATGGGAGGCAGTGACATCATGGTGATCCACGGAGTTGCCCAGGGGCACGTCCAGAAGAAGGGCACCTAACACTACTGACTGGGAGGCATTGTGCAGCTTTGCCCTCTCTCTGTAACAGATTTTCTGCTCTAAGAAAAAACACGAAAAGGAGGCAGGAAAACACGGAACAGTCATGAGTAGAATGTAAGACTCTGCACCCCTGTAAAATTCTGTGAGGGAAGAAGGGTGATGGCATAAGAATTTCAACTGGATGCATCCTAAACCCTTTTGGGATTTTAGCATGTGTTCACATGCCCAGACTGGGATGGATTTATCCAGTTGATGTTAACATTTCTTAAAATTTACAAAGGAGAAACGTGTTTTAAGATGTAGCCCTATGCATGTTTCAACCAACATGGCTGCCTGTGGCATGCTGGAAGTTAGGTCTTTTTCCCTATCTAAACATGCATGGGACTTCACACTTAGTTCTAATTTATTACAGAAACAGGACTCATTAAGAAAAGCTTCCTATCGATACTGCCATGCGCGTCTTTTGCCTTGCGGATGATAACATTACATTTACAACTTTCAAACTGTTTATGCTAATACTGGCATATTATTTATTCTTACTGGATTTTATATTATTCTGGTACAGGATCTTGTATACCTTTCATAAACATTTTTTCCACTCATTTCTAAACAAAGCGTTTGGACAGCTGTTTAAAAGAGTAAAGAACCCATTCACAAATTTCTATCCATGCCCAAGGCCTCCCTTTACTTTTGCCACTGTAACTTGTATTTCTGTATACAACTTCTAGCCCTGTAGTTAAGCCTGAGACTTAATTGGAGACTATTTTTGGGGGTCTGAATAAATCTAGTTATATGGCAAATATGTGATCTTACATACATTTTTCTATTATCCTGAGATCCAACTGAAAGAGACATACATGCTGGTAAGTTCATTTTTAAAATATCATTTCACATGCCTGCTCATCCACCTAGAGCATCAACTGACAAACAAAAGTTAATGCACACTAGACTATGAATTAATCTTTTGTGCCTAATGACTGCTAGTTGCAGCATCATGGAGATGTATTTTCATCAACAGAACCAACTTCCTATATAAAAAAAATTCTGAAAACACACCCACATAAAGAGCTGCAGATATTTATATTTCACTAACAATTTTATTGATCTTTTTAATAAATTAAATGAAAATCTGTGTCATTTGAGAAATGAAAGGAGGCAAGGATATCTTTCATGTTCCCATTTATGAAGAAGATATAAAGATGAGCTAACTATATTCTTTCTCTGATGTTGTTTCAGGATAATATTCCCCTCCCTTCACTAAAAAGTACAATTTAAAATGAAAACAGCATATTTCCTCTTTGGGCAAAATTACTATCCCAGTAATTTGCCTCTAGAAGCAGATTAATGCACATACATGACACTCTGAGCAGCTAGAATATTAAGCAATTTCCCCTTTCTCTCAACAAGTTTGTTAAATCAAGATTGTTCATGAAGCTTCAGGCTATTTACATTGACAGTTTAGAAATGCAATTGTTGAATCAAATGGGTAGAACAGGAAAATGTTGTACTACAGGGAGCAGTGTTGCATTTGGACCTAGTCAACGACTCTGCTTCAAAATCCCTTGACATGTGCTCTCACTTGGTGGTCTTAGACAAGCTGTCATGCTGTCATCCGACCTATTTTTAATGTTGCCAGATTGAAGCCATGGGACTCTGCCTAATCCCTTAGACCTCTAAGTAATTCATTCACTTTCCATTCTGCCCCACCCCCTCAACACAGTAGGAGAGAAAGATGTGCAAATCAATCCACAAATGAGCAACTAGTACACGTACACAGTGGCCAATTCTGTACTCCCACTAATGTGAACAGAGACATCAAGCTAACTCTAACATGTGAGTATGATGCAAGCACCAGGCCAAGGTGCTATACCTACTTCATGGTAAGCTGGTTCCATACCACACAACAGCCCATCATGGTTTAATTTGCCCATAGAGACTGTCATGTTGTGCCAAGTGCCTGCAGGTCTCCTGACTGCCATGGCTTGTCACGTCATGCAAACCCAGGCATTGGGGGGCGGGGAGCAGACAACCCTCAAATGACCCTAAAACAAGCTATGGGTTATTCAGGGTTGTCTAACCCTCAAACAACCTCTGCTGCCTGGGTCACATGACACAAGCCATGAGCACCATACCAAATTTATTTTCCTCTTCTCTGTGGAACAATTAAGCCACACTGAGTTGTCATGGCATGCAAAACTAGTTAGTATCTCACTGACTTGGAGCAAATTGAGCTTCTGAAAATAAGGAATCCTATCTATTTCACTGGACTGTGGTATATCTCAGACAGGGACTATTTCAGTGTGTGGTCCAATGTTTGCTTTCTAACAGAAGGGCTGGTGATTCTAACAATATGTTTGAAAACCTACAACGCGTGCATGCAAGTGTTGCTAAGTGAACCCAAGTACACAGTTGTACACAAGATGTTGGATAAGAGCACATGAGCACTGGGTGGTCCACTAAAAACAGTCCACAAGCAGAATGTGAAGCTCAATGAGATCAGGCTAAAAATATAACAGCAGCGTTGTAGTAAATGGAAAAAACTTGACACAGTGCTTTTAATTTTATTGTATTAGAGTTAGAACAAGTGTGGAAAACTTGTGGCCCTCAAGACATAGGGAGACCACCTCCCATCAGCCCCAACCAGCATGGCCAACAGTCAGGGAAAATGGGAATTGTGGTGCCCCAAATGTTGGAGACTACAGATTCCACACTCTAAATTAGAATGATTTGAAGAAAAAGTGGGGGTAACTGTTCCAATAATGTTACCCTCCAGGCAGAACAAACCTAGCAAACACTCAGGAAAGAATTCTTATAATTAAAACTATGTACACAATGAGAAGAGAAAAATCTTGATCTCCCATCTGTAGCATTATTTTTACATCAATATACCCCAAGAATTAAGACAAAGGTAATGAGCATTAATATACGCTTTATTTCCAAACAACACACTATACCTGAGCTTCTGAAGCAGACTTGGACTTCTGGGAGCAAGTCTTAAAAACATGTACCAACAAACCTGGAGGTTCCTCTGGGTGGAACAAGGCCACCGTGGCTGATGGAGTCCCCCTTGGGGTGTGTCTCCATACTGGGGGAGAACAACATCGCTGTCCAATCATAACCCCTTCAGCAAGCTATCTTTGGGGGAGCTGTCTTTCCTAAGCATTACATACCACATTCAAATTGCAATAATAAACATTCCAGGTTAAAACTAAAGAAACAAGCCGTACAAATAATGGTGTTAAGAGGTTAACGGAAAAAGAACAAGGTTAGCAGTTGCACTGCTTTTCATTTAAAACTAGCCCAAAGCTAGGAGAAATCAACTGGTTTGTTACATCCTTCTGTAGGAACCAATGGAAGAATCCATCGCAGGAAGCATGTGATCAAGACTTCAAGTGTGATCGGAGCACAAACTATCCGAGGAAGACGGTGAGCGAAAAGGTGAAGTGTGCTGCACTGCAGGGAGCTCCCACTAAGGACAGCCTAATGGGGTGTGGTGGGGGCAAAGCCTCTGAGTTTCTGTGTTTTAATTATGTTGTCCAGACTTAACTGACTGCATTATGTTTTATTAGGGCCTTTTGCAAATGTACAGTATTTAAAAATCTGGTTCACCGCTTTGGGATATGGACCTTAAGCATCCTCCACCCACCCTGAGCAATATACATTTTTTAAAAACTGAGTTACCTACTCGGGAGTAAGCCACTGAACACAACCCATTGTCGCTCCATTGGATCACATTCCCGAAAGATTATATACTGATAAAATGAAGTGGAGTAGAACTATGTACGACGCTGTGGGTTCACGGCATTAGGAAAAAGGGTGGGATGTAAATGCAATATAATAAAAAATAGTAGCTGCAATTAAATGACTCGGGAACTGGCCGTAACAACCAGCCACAACTAAACTGAAACTCGCTCACATAAAAGAAAAATAGATTTGGAGTCTCCCAAAGGGAGAAAAAGCCACGGGAGCAACGACCGGCAGAGTAGGGCGTTGGCCAACCCGGGCAGGTAACTTATGTTCAACTCCTCGCAGTAAACTTCCTCGCTTTTCCCTTACCTTCTTGATTTTGCTTTCCAAATCCATGCTGGCTTGCCCACCACAGGCACGTGAACTGCAGGAGAAAGCCGCGAGGGCAATGTCCTTTTCCTCTTTCCCTTTCCCCCTCCTTCACGCCTTCCTGACAGTCGGATGTGGTTAGAGAGCAGTTTGCTCTGCTCGCGATCACGCCCCGCACCGCTCCGGCTACTGCGGCGGCTACTGCAGACTCGACTGAAACTTCCGCTCTCCTGCGGCAGTGGGGAAAAGGAACAAAGGAAGCCCTGCAGCCAATCGCGGCCGAGCAGCTCGCAGGTCCGCGAGCCAATCGGCGACGCCCTCCGAATACCTTTGCTTGGCCAGCCTGCGCGACGCCGCGGGTGGCAGCGGGCGATGGGCTCTCCTGGCCGCTTCCCTCGTCCGGTGGGCAGGCGCCTTTCCGGGCTCTGCGGCTGGGGGTGCCCTCACCTAGCGACACTTATCGCAGGCTTGCGGGCGGCCCTAAGGCAGCGCCCGGGACTTTGGAAAGGACCTTCTGGCAGCGCTCTCTGAGGAGCGCCGCTCAAATGAATGAGTCGTCTGATAAGGTCATGGTAAAGGTATTTGCTGACGCAGCCGCCCAGCGCGGCCAATTGACTCCGGCAGATTTGCCTCTCAACCCTTTCCTTCTCTCCGGGGGACGGCGAAGGAAGCACGAAGAGAGCAATTTGTTAAAATTAGAAGCTGGTGGCCGATAAGCAAGCGAGCCCCTAGATTTAGAAAGTGCGCGCGGTGATTTATGGATCTAGTAAGCGGGGCTTGCTTTCCAGCGTGGGACCGTGCCTAGAGTGCTCCGTTGGGACTCCGCGATGCAGCTGGGTGGCTCTGGGCCAGGCACGGGATCTCAGCCCAACCTACCTCACAGGGTTGTTGTTGTGGGGATGAGAGTGAGAACAGCAGGATTAAAATTCTGTAAGCAGCATTGAATTCTGTGTAAGAAAAAGGCAGGATATAAATCCAATAAATTTGCTTAATCTGCCCATGCTTTTTAGGTTAGTCCTCTGTATGCTTATTGGGAAGTAAGTCCAAGTTGAATTGACTTTGGAGTAAATATCTGTCACCCCACTGGGCAGAGGTGCTGGGTTCAAAAGACAGGTTATGCCCTTTGAACTTCCTCTTACTGCACAAATATTACAGACCATGTCTGCTTTTGCATCTGGCCATCATAGGATTGAGCTGCTTAGAGTAGGAGTGAGCAGCCTTGTGGAATATGACTGACTTTTTGTTTGTTTTCACTAGATCCATTAAACAACTGGGTGCAAAAGCTGTGAGTTCATAATTCCTTGAGGACCAAAATGGCGCTCACTGTCCTTCAAAAATCCTCTTTTGGTTACCCCAAATATTCCTCATGTGAGCTGTATAATGGGAAGGGAGGAGGAAGGAAGCATTATTATAATCAGCTGCAAACCAATCCTTGCCAATTTACTGCAAATCACTCAAAGATTTATCAATAGATGTAGACATTCTGCTCATCATTAGTCTATGATAGCCAAGTTCTGAGGCCAAGACAGAGTATGTGGATTTATGTTCCTGGGTGTCTTTTTCTCAAGTTACTAAAGGTGGCTATAAAAGTGATAGCACTGGAACATATTTTATTTAGAAAGGAGGCGTGATCAAATAGAACTGTTTGTAAGGAAATTCAGTTTTCATCTGAACTGATAAAAAACACATTGCTTTCAGTTCTGACTCATGGCCCTCTATAAGACAAGGTAATTTTCTTGCCTTTCCATAATTTGTTATGTTAATTACTATTCCTAAACACAAATGTTGCCAGCTGCAATAGCTGCAGGATGTTAACGTATTGAGAAATGTGCAGACATATAGTCTATTATCTTTATTATTTATTCAGGGCAGAATAGTATGCATATTTAAACAACAACAAAAAAAGATATACAGCTCCCAGCATTCCCCAGTCAGCTATACTGTGTGGCAATTATGGCAAGGAAGCCTCTGATACTGATTGGTTGAGTTAATGGGGGGACAGCTTGATGGAAATGTCACCCCAGTGTGTGGCTGCTTTGAAAAAAAAAGGCAAACTCTATGTTAGCCATAATTAGGAAAGGAGCTGAAATAAGACAGTCAATATCATATTTCCCTTTTACAACCTGTGGTGGGTCCACTCTTAGAAATACTGGGCAGATTCACATGACACAAGTTTCTGTGATCTATTGTGTTGTTTGGACACAGTTCCAGAGCTCCTGTGGAATTGGATTGCTTTTCTGAAACCAGGCTTACAGGAATGTTTCCATGGCGTGATGGGTCAGACATGAATTTGCAACTAACAACAGTGCTTCACCGTGCTTTATCTTGTCATGCATACCTGGGATTTCCATTTTAACACTCTTGGTATGGAAATGCCATAGAGTCTCCTGGCAAGAGCACTCACAGAAGTGGCCACTTCTAGCCTTTCATATCTACTGTCTTCAGCTCTCTATCAACATATGCTTCATTTCCCGTTTTATTCCCATGGACTGACCTATGTGTCCATCTCCCTGTTTATTTTTGGAAATGGAGACTGCATGAAAACACACAGAGGCAGAAGGGGGAAATTGTGGCAAATCAGTTTATTTTAATTAATAACGATCTCTGTGGGGCTTGCAGTGCTTGGAAATTACCACAAACACGCAGGCACACTCAGGAGGTGGAAATGAAGACCTTCTTCAGAACTGTAGCGGAACTATCATGAGGAGGAGGCTGCAGTTCATAAGCAAGAATAGGGAAAGCATGGGAATTTGTTTGTAGCGGTTGCTGGGATGTGTGGCAAGGCTGGGAGGATGGAACAGGGAGTGTGGGGACCATGCTTGCCCAGGAATCACGTGACCATCTGACTGGCATGATCCTGGCACAGGATTATTTGCTGTGTCATGTGACCTGAGCCACCATTTACAGTTCAGATCACTTCTGCTGAACAAGGATATGGTAGCTAGAATAAGTGCAGAAAAAGGCAACTAAGGCACAGTCCTATGGCCTCCTGATATTCTCTAGGGTGCCATAGGATTATTTGGCATCCCGACTTTGAGATCCTGCCATCTTGGAACTGGGACTTCAGATGCCCCATATTCCCCACAGTCAGTACAGAAAAAACCATCAGTCTTGGAGAGGAGGAAAAGGGCATGCTAGAGAGTGAGAAAGTGGGTTAGGGTGGGGAAGGGAGGAAGCTGAGGCGGGAAGCTTATGCTGTAACCAAATGGCACCACAGTCTCCTCCCTCTCCTGCTTTGTTCTGCTTCATCCAGACCGCCAAGAAAAAGCATCAAGCTGAAATGTAGGGTGTGAGCTGTGGCAGCACACGGGAGATGTGAACCTCCAAGTCTGGAAGGTTACATGACCCTAGAGAGTAGGGCATTGGATTGCACCCTAAAATAAGGGGCTGGAGCAATTCATGTATAAGCATCCAGAATTGTTTGGCTTAGAAAAATGGCAAGGGCAGAAATGACGGAGGTGTACAAAATTATGCACAGTATGGAAAAAGTGGAGAGGAAGATATTTTTCTCCCTTTCCCATAAAATTAGAACCAGGAAACTGATCATCTGGAGAATCAGGATGTACCAGGCATATTTCAACTGTAGAAGTCACCTCCCCAAGCTGAAGTGATGGCCCACCCTTTGAATGGCAGTAAAAGGGCATTAGACAAATGACCAGAGATTAAAGATATCAGTGAGTATTAGTCCACACGGCTATATGTTGCCTTCAGAATCAGAGTCAATATGCTTAGGTACACCAGTTGCTGAGGAACATGGCCTGGAGAGTTGTGCTCTCGAGTCCTGCTTATTGACTGTGCTCTGTGTGAGAATGCTGGACTACACCTAGATGGACCCTTGCCTTGATCCAGCAGGGCTTTTCCAATATTCTCATTCAATTGCTCAGAAAAACAGAGCTGTGTGCAGCCCAGCTTCTCTGAGGGAACACTTGTTAGCTTGGCTGAAACTGAAACCTCACACAGGGGCTGGCTAAGAGCTGGTGAGAGGTTTTGGCAGGCAAGGGATTGAGGGAGGAACTCAAAAGCAGAGTTGGCTTGAAGGAAAGGAAAGAGATGTTATAGAATTGAGGCAAAGCAGGGCGGGGGTGTGGCAAACTGGGAAACAGGCTCTCAAAAACAGCTGAAGTTTTATTGTAAAGGGTGGATGGGAAAGGAAGTATCGCTCAGTGTAGCTGAATAAACTGGATTAAAGTAGGAATCTAAGGAAACAGAAATGCCGTTCTGCCATTTTCTCAGCAATGCAGGAATCACTTATTCTCGCACAGCTCCCAAACAGCTAGCAGAGCATTTAAAGGCTGATCGCATGATTTTTCCTCCTCCCTACAGAATTGGAAATATGCCTGGAGAGGAGGTGCCTCCTTTGTGGGGGAAAAAATGGCATCGGCACCCGCTTGCATGGATAGGTCAATTTAACATTCGGCCAGTTGTGCAAAAGCGGTTTGAGGCTCCCAGCACACTGGGAGAATGACAGAGAGGCACTAACTGTGTTGGACATGTTGAATGGAATATAGGAGTCTCTAAGGAGAAGAAGGCATATTTATTTATAACATTTTAAATAAGCATAGAAAGAGGAGTGGCTGCATATGACTGGAAAATTGGTGAGAGCACGGCGGTTGTGGGCTAGAAAGCCAAGGAAACATCTGTGTGACCTGATAAAGTATAGACTCACAGCTGCACTTTCCTGGTGCAGGGGTGAGGGACCCATCAGGCTGGCCCATCCTCAGAGAATTATGGTACCTGAGAGGCTCTTGAATGGCCTGGAGGATGTTCCAGTGACTAGAGCTGCTGATTTTGCCAAGGCACTTGTTTTTCTGTGGAATGGTGAGATGTGAAGGGCCACTGAAGATCAAGGCTGTGGTTGATGCCTTTTCTGTATAAGGAGTCTTGCCTGACATTTTGAAGGGAGCAGGACTGCAACCACTCCCGAAGAGGCCCATCTTGGACCTGTGGATCTGTGCAAATTATTGCTCAGTTGCAGACATGCCATTTTTGGGAAGGATGGTCAAGAGGGCTACAGCAGGGCAACTGCAGGCATTCTTGGGAGAAACTGATTCTCTAGACCCTTCCCTGTCTGGGGTAATGCTCAGTTTGGACAGCAAATCTGCCTTGGTCACGGTGTAGGATAAACTTTACCCAAGTGGGATAGAGGGCTGAAATTTACCCCCTTTTAATCTCTGATGTTTTTCAAACTGTACGCCATGGTATCGTCTTACCTAGGGTTTAGAGGTAGTTACGGGGACACTGTACTTTGGTGGTACCGTCTTTGTATGGGGCTGGTGTCAGAGTCATGCTGAAGGAATGTACCTCAATCACATGGGCACTGTTTGAGCTCCAGTGTTACTCAACATCCTCATGAAGCCTCTGGAAGCCGTGATTTGGGGGCAGTTATCTTCAGTGTGCTTCTACTATCATTGCTACATTGTAATCTGGAAATCTGAAGGGGAATAGAAAGGTCAAAAAGTATTAGATGGGACTGAATTTCA